TAATCATTGAGGTTGGTCAATGATTTTCCGCACTCTGTCGCCAATTATCTGTTCTGATAAAATAATTTTTCTATCATGGCCAGCTCTGACATAAAACAGGTGTTTTTTTTCCGAAATGATATCTCCGCAGATAGTTAATGGTTTAATCTTTCCTTCTTTGTAACTTGTGGGTGGTCCAGCTGACATTTTTCTCGGTCAGTGCGTGACCTGATTAATATTATCTCTTAGCATTCTGTTTTGTAGGCCACTTGACCAATTTGAAATTTTCATTATTGCCATGGGCAGATGGCTATCTTTTATTCGCTCCGTCGTAACATAAATCAAATCAAATCCGACAGATCCGAGATCTTACTTTCTTCGCTAATGAAAATAAAATCTTTACCACTTTTCTTTGTTAGAAAAAATAACATCGCTCACTGTCTTTTCGTGATAGCTTCTTATCACCTAAATTAATTCTCGCCTTTTTTTCACGCAACCCTAGTGTCACATTCCTCCCCTAAACTATTTGTCATTTACTCGTAAATGACACCGAGACCCAAATACACTATTTAGCATGCCTCATGCATCTGTCCCATGCAATTCTATTCTTCTTTTCTTCTTTTTTTTTTTTTTTTTTTTTTTTTTTTACGGTTTTACATGCAAGGTGATGTTCTTTTCACCTTCTTCTGTTCTACATGCAAATGTAATGTTCTTTACATTTTCTTCTGTTCTACATGCAAATGTAATGTTCTTTAAATTTTCTTCTGTTCTATACGCAAATGTAATGTTCTTTTTCATCTTCTGTTCTACATGCAAATGTAATGTTCATTTCATCTTCTGTATCTCATGCAATTTAAAGTGCGTGTGTCTGTGGGTGCATGTGTGTGGTTATTATGGCTTGTTTTTCTTGGTCAATGCTTTTCTCTCTGCTGTAGGAGGTTTTTCTGCCGCATGTGTCGGTTTCACACCAGCCTCCAAATAAACGCCTTTCTGCAATTTCTTTGCCAATTCTGTAAGAGTAAAAAGAACACTATTTTCGTCAAAAAAAAATGAAAGAGTTGCTGCATGCTCATTTGATTACCGCTAGTTAATTTCCTCTTACTTCTAATCTTCTATATTACCATACCCCCTATGGCTATAATTATGAATGTACCCATCATTGCTGACCAACTTATCGTGATCTGCTCATCATCTTCCCAAGCCATACCTTCATTTCCCAACGCACTTAACTTGTCCCTCAATTGATCCATATCGATCTTTTCTATCGGCTTCATTAGTACTGGCATTTTATTCAAGGTAACATTGGGGAATCCCCTCACTATCAGGCCAACACCGTCGTTGACTAACCAATCAGCATTCTTTGCTTTTATTCTCAATTACCCAGGTAAATAGCCTTCTCCAGTTCGACGAGTTGCTATTGGTTGAAGCATGCCAAACTGTACAAAAACCCTCGTTACCGCACATACTGCTGGAATGGCTAGACGGTAGAGTATTGCCATTTTTACTGAGCAAACTTGCCAATGCCATGTGTTGCACGTTGAGGTAGGATCCTTATTTTCCTATGCACCAGATGCAAGCCACTCTGGTTCGCTTGCTTCTATGAGACTGTTCACCACAAACACAAGGGCATAAAGCATCTGTGAAAGCAGACAACCTTGACATATGGATCTGAAAAGCCTTAACCTTACTCATTCATTTTGACCAGCACCCTGGGGAAAAAAATTGTAAAAGAGCCAAATCCAGGAATGAAAGTACTGTCCAAAACTGGTCAATATGAGAACAGCCTTGAGAAACTGATTATCTAGTCCATCAAAAGCTTTGGAGTGATCTAAATTGTTTAGCATGGCTTCACTACTGACTTTTTCTACAATCAGGTGCACCAAATAGGAGCTGTCCTAAATAGTCATGCTACCTATCCCATCCCCACTGTTTACACAGCATCTTGATCACACCTCTGAAGTGTTATATTCCTGTTTTTCAACCACTGCTTAATAAGTACCAGCAGTAGAACAAACATGGGTTACTGCCTTGTTTACCTTGTAGGGCAGACCATATATCTCCGGAGTATTAGCCAATCTGCTTCAGCGCTTCCCAGATTTCTGCCTCAGTGATGGCCCTCTCACACTCAAACAGAAAGTCAGCTAGTGTCAAACTGAGTAGGACAGCCTCCCTGGTAAACAGCTCCTGAAAATAAAACCAAAAAGCTTCACAGATACCTTAATTTATAGTTACATTTGTCTGGTAATGTGATCATGGAGATTGCCACATTTCAGTGGCCATTTTCATCACCTCAAAAGACACTTTCTTTAATTGAGCCTTAATTTGCAGAGCTTGGAGCCTTCTTGATAAGCAAAGAGGCCATCTCAGCCATAGCTACCACTAATTCCCCCATTATCTGCTAATTTGACTACCCATCTAATTTAACTTTGGCTGCCATTTGCACTGCTAATCTATCTTGATTGAGCCAACAACTATAGTTGGTGTCAAACAACTTAATGAATATCTTGACATTTTCCAACCACCTATTCCCAACCACAGTCCCTGTCAACTCCCTCTGTAGAATTAGTAAGAACTGGTCCTGGAAATGTATCACCTCAAACAGCGACTGTGGAATTTCTAATCAGTCATTCTAGATTTAGGCTAATTTGAATTCATCCAAAACTGGACAAGCCAATGGTCTTAGTAAACTATCAAATGGAAACTTGGACATTTAACTAGCACCTAGTCGATGTAGCTTGCATGCACCACCGTATCTGGGCTGCTTCTATTTGTCAAAGTTCATAATACTTCCCAGGAGTAATCATTTCTAAACTTATTGACCAGATCGGGTATATCGATAAAGTTAGACAGAATAATATTCTTTTAGTCACTGGTAATCAGATGTCTCCTGTAAACAGCAAATATTCACTCTGAGATGCTAAAGATCATGTAACAGTCCCGTCCTTCAAGACTATGACCTCAGGCCTTGGACATTCAGACTCGCCAACTAAAGGGCCATTGTGAAACACTTAGGGTTGAATCTATTCCTTAAACATTGTCTGAGTGAGGATGCTGACTGCCTCTCCGGTTCAACTAACACCCATCTCAGTTTTGATGGAACTGTCTTGGGATATGTCACTAATGTCTCAGGGAAGTCTTATTTTCAATGCCCTGTAAAGGGAATTGTGAACCAAAATTGGAAAACTGGGACCCTCCCACAGCAAAATGTATAGTTCTGTTTAAGTCCTCACAGTCTGTGATGGCAATGGGGGTATGGTAGGAAAAGCTCATTGGCCTCCTCATTACCCAATACTTGCTGTGTTCCCACTTCTATGCACACAACCATTAGGTTCCTTTTTGGCTGTTTTTGCTGGATGTAGTTTATCATCATACCCAGGACTATTTGTCTTGAGGAGCATGCATATATATACACATGTGTGTGCATACAAATTCAGATATAAATAAAAATATATCTTTAAAATGACAATATGAATAAATACAAAATGAAAACTTTACCAATGTATTTCATCCTTTGATGGATTCTGTCATGACAAATGCAAGGATTTATTTTGCAACAAGTATTTATTGACAGAAGTAAAAATATCCTTATTTTTTCAAAATTTTACAATTAAGAATGCTCATAAATATTCTTCTGGCTAACTGAAAATCAAGGTAAGCTATGGTGGAAACTTATTGATGTAATAAACAAAAGTGAGTAAATGTTATTGTTGTTGCATTTTTTTTTTAATGTAATTATTTTATTTTAGTTTGAGAAATTAATTTATGTATTTATTTTAAATTATAGATGGTTTTGATTTAACTGCTTTTAATTTCTTAATATTTTTATGGGGAAGTATGTTGACTTGAGAAAGAATATATTTTAGGAATGGAGATATTTGAAAAAATTCAGGGCACAGAATTATATTTTGGTAAGATTTGATAGTGGCACTATTTTACATCTAAGTAACTTACTTTCTGTATTGTATTGCATTCTTGAGATCAAAGTTGTTAAATTTATTTCTATGTATGACTAATGCATTTGATAAATTGTTGTGTATAAGATCCTTTTTATGTCCATAGATATGTATTTTTTAAGTTCTGTAAGTATCCGTGATTTATTGTGAAGAACAGTTTTGACAGATTTATATAAACTGCCATAGTTAAATTAAAATTTAAAAATCTATTATTTGAAATAAATATATCAACTTCTCAAAATAAGATAAATAATAATTAGAAAAAGTTCCAGCAACATTTACTCACTTTCATTTATTAGGTATTAAATTACATCACTTAGCATCCTCCATAGTTTATTTTGACTTTCACAGTTAGTCTGAAGAATATGAATATTCTTAAATTAAAAAATTTTGAAAATTTGACAATATTATTACCTATGTTTATAAATATATGTTGCAAAACACATTTGCCTTGATAAAGTCCATCAGAGGATGAAAATGCATTGTTAAAGTTTTCATTTTGTCTTTATTCATTCATTCACACACACACACACACACATATATATATATATATATATATATATATATATATATATATAACATCGGCCAGGACAATGGGGGAGGAGCAAAAAGCTAATACTTTCTTCAAGTAAACCATATTATAAGACTTCAGAACAACTACAAAATCTTGATTTAGTTTATAATTCTTGTATAAATATTTTCTGAAAAGTTCAAATCTTTTTGTTTAAATTCTGCATATATATATATATATATATATATATATATAACAAAATGTCTCTATACATGGAATAACTCAACATTTGCATTGCATTCTGTACTTAAAGTAACTTAAAGGTTTCCCTTTTGTATAGAAAAGTTATAACAATTAAAAACTGCTATTATGAAAACATTTTCTTGACTATTACAAATTTGATTTGCCATAAACCCACTTTTCACTTCAATCAATAATACCAGATTTTCTTAAAGTGAGAATTAATACAGCTTATATAATTTTTTGTTCCTTCTGCTACACTTTAATTATTTGTGTGCAGCCAGTGTAATCTCACCTTATTATAAATCTATTATCAGTGGAGTACCCCAAATGGTTGGCAGTGGCGGAAGTGGTGCAAGCCGCAAGATTCTGAAATATATCAACAAAATCACTCAGTCCAAATATTTTCAGCAAGCTACAGAATATAAGTATATCAAGATGGCCATGGAAGAAGTGTCCAATACGCCTCTCATTCTCACTGTGGAAGTGCACAATCTTAATGGAACATTAACCCTTAATGTACCGCCCCCTCCCACTGACAGATTGTGGTAAGTCATGTTTTTTTTGATTTTTGTATATTTCAGGAATCTTAATCTTGTACATGTTATGCAATTGTTCTGTAAAATTTAAAACTAAAAGCAGAATGGATTCATTATCTTATCTATTTTCTTCCTTGTGTAATCAGCTTTATTAAACTGTTTTCTGCAGTCAAACATGAAAACTTTTTACTATTAATCTTTAATTACTAGTGAAATTCTTGCAAGTTCTTATTATATAGTCTATAGTCAATTTTACAAGTACAAAACAATGAATACAAAATCAGTTTTTTTAATTCTTGTACTGCAAACTTCAAAATGTGTTGGAACCATAAATTTCTCAGTTTTCTTATTTATGCTGAGTGTGCAAACATAGTTTCTTTTCAAAATGTCTGAAAAAGCTTTCTCAGTGCTTCTAGAATTGAAATTTAAACTTTAGTATGTTGCTTATTTTGAGATACAACTGTAATTATTGTAGATCCACTTATATTTTACAGAAATTTAAAGATTCTGTTACTTTTTGTCTTTCCTTTTTCATGTCCTATTTACTTTTTTTGTATATTGACTTTCTTTTTAAACCAATATGTCAAAGTAGTTGGTCTTATCACAGCTTTTTCAAAAAGGTTTGTATAAATGAAAGGTTGATTGCATCTATGTATTAAAGTTTGCTTTCTAAGTTCATGGCAACCAGCAGTTTCAATGTTTTCTAGTTCTTCATACATTTGCAATCTTCAAACAGTTTATATGTTTTGATCTTTTAATGTACTTGAAATAAGCACTGTTGATTTAAAATACTTAAGGTGAGATAATCTCTGTAGTGCTTTTTAATTTTGTAAGTTTTTAGCCACAGCTGATCTGCACTTAACAACTGAAGATATGCCTATTTCTTTACAATCCAATTCATAGGTTTTCATTTTAAAAATATTTTTTTATTTGCATTCTAGCCTTTTAATTTTTGATACAATAGTTTTCTAGTTTAAGAAGTTTGCTATGTAAAAATGATACAAACAAATATGCTTGATAAAAATTCATTGTCTTAATGAATGTGTTAATATTTTGAATTTTTATCATTAGATGAAGGATGGTTAATTTATTAATTTTTGACTAGTATTTCTTTCATCTTAATTTTAGAATGATAGTCTGAATAGTTAGAATAAGTAAAAATAAATAACTGAATGATTGTGTTCTTGGATATATTTTTGTAGGTATAAGTTAATTTCATAAGTTTATAGCCTTGAAATCTGCTGGTCAAACTTAGGCCTGTTTACTGATTTTTATGAAATAGCTGTTTATTGCTATTGCTCATTTTAAGTGGGACATGCTGTATTGGTACTGGACACATTGGTTACAGTCACTTGAATTATTATTATTATTGTACAGCACAGATGAACAAAGGCCTACTAATAATTAGTGAAGGTAATCAATTGTGAGGTGGTAGCAACCACAGCACTTTTATCATTTCATATTTTAGTCCTGTTACTGGTTGTTCAATAATTTTCTTTCTCTCTTTTTTATAGTCTCGGTCTGTGCGGTGTTAATATCTTTCTCTCTCCATTATGAGGTGAATGTCGCATGTGAAAAATAAAGATCAAAATCTTGAATACAATTTTAATTTCTTTTTTCTTTATTTTTTTTCTGTTACATGTCATTGGTGATCAATTCTGTCACTTCATGAAGAGCTTTTATATATAAACTGTCCCTGCTGCATTTGCTTTTGGCTGGGTCAGTTGGTGATTTGTGAAGCTGAACAACATTTTTTCCTTCAGGCAGTTGATAATGACTATCTTTGAAAATATCTTGCTTATATTCCAAATCAGTAAATTGTTGAAAACTGGACTTAGGATTTTACCCAAATCCTGATAAGAAAATCCATTGTTAAATTTTATCTCTTATCCTAGCAGCTTATAATGGAAAAGATTTTATACACTCAACTTTATTCAGATATGAACATTTCTCTAGTGGGTGGGGATGGTCTCTAGTTTAACCATTCTGAATGTAAAATCATAATTAGTCTGAGGTAGAATTTCTTTTGTGCTTCAAAAGTTTTGAGACAACTTATCAATTCTTGTTACTGGTTTACTTTAATAACTATCTATTACAAAAGGCCAACAGATCCGGGTGGTTGTTGCTTAGATATTCTATTTCACAAGTATAGTAGTAGTAGAAATAAATTCACATTGTAAAGAGCAATTGAAATGCAATAGTTTCAGTGAGTGTAACGCAATAATGATAAATAGTATCTGATTTGTTGGTAGTACCTCAAGGATTGGGATTACAGTTGAATTCTTTGTTTCTGAATTCCATTTTCTCTGCTTTACTGATGTCACATTATATTACTTGGGTTAAAATGATTATTAGTACATCTAACAAGCCCAATTGATCTTTTAATAGACAATAGGAGAGTTAGCTAGTGGGTTGATTATACTTATCAGGAATCTTTGGAGCAAGTGACAAGTTGAACTTCAACAGTTGGCTATTAACCTCAGTGGAATACTATTGTTATAAATTTTGTTAGTTTAATGGGTCATTTATAATCCTTGTTCTTGTTCAGGATCTGTGACAGCTTCCTCTCAGTTTTCAGTGTTGTGTACTTTTTTTGCTTCCCTTTAGCTACCTTTCCACACTAAGCTAGCCAGTTTTTCTAAGCATTGTAACTTGTCTGTTATTACTATTGCATTGACCATGTATGCTGGAAGTATGATTTCTGTTGTATAACAGCCTAAAATGAGTATATTAGTTTGAAATTAAAGCAATCTAATAATCCCCAAGATATATTTTTCTAATAAGGCTTTTTTGTAATTTATTTACTATAAATTTTTTTCTAATTGGTAATTGTTTCTGATTTACAAAAGATGATATAGTAATTGCCATGCAGTAGTTCCAATGGAATTATAAGATTACCTCCCTTGAGAATTCTTAGGAAGTGGAGAGTAGTAAATGCTACACAGAAAAAAAGAAAACTGCTAGTCATATTGTAAACCTGTCATATTTATTTAGAATATTTTGTCAAACTAATTCCTACATTCCCGCATCCCCTTAATATGAACTAGTATGTAACTTGCAACAATTACATTACAGATGTGCTGGATTTATCAGAGAAACTTGATCAATAATTTGTTCAGGGAAATTTATGACTATCGAATGTCACGTGCACTCATGTAAGTAGGTGGATTGTCTGAAATGAAGCAGACATTAACTTGGTCAAAGTGATTTAAAACATTTAAAAGTAACCATAGAATATCATAGAAATGCACACACACACACACCTCCTTCATTTTTTCAATATTTTCCTATTTGTATATATATAGTTTTCATAATTTTCATTGCATTGATATTGTAGTGGAAAGTTTGGTGGTTACCATTTATTTAACAACAAGAAACATTTGTGATAAAAGACAAAAGGCAAATATTTGAATAACAAGTAAGTTTCAATATATTTTTGTAATGAAAATATTTTACAAAAATGTAGTAGATTTTTTTAGGTGAAATCTTGTTAGTTTAATTTGTTTGGTGAAAGATTAAATTTTGTTGAGTTCTAATTTGAAAAGATGTTTGTTAGAATCTGTTATTGAAGATTCTGTAAATTAATTAAAAGAGAAGACTTTACATTTAAGAATTTACTGTTCATGTAAGTAGTAAATGTTTGTAAAATTGAATGTAATTTTGTGATCAAAGAAGTTATCTACCTTTTGATTATTTTGTGTAATGCAATGTTCTTGAATGTTGAGAAATAAAGTTAATTTGTTAGCAGGAATTTGTTTAACTTCTGCATAAGGAATTTGGTGAGTGAATGGGAATAGAGTTCACTGGTGAGTTTTGGTGAGTGAGTGAATATTGTTAAGCTTGTCTAATGTTTGTATCAACAAAAAACTTAAGATTGTGTGACGTGAAGTTTAGTTGCAATTTGTTTGATGCCACAATGCTCACTGGCTAGTGTGAATGAGTTTCTGTTTTTATTTGCTTTGGATGGCTAACAGAGACTTGGCGCAAACTTGGATTTCAGTCACAAGCTATAAAAATTAGCTAAGCATGGGTGGATAGTCACACCTACTTGTATATTTATTAATCAATGAGGGTTTGAGATTTTTTTTGAAAGTGTATGAAGCTGAAAGTTTTCTGTGATCCATTTTTAGCACAGGTTTGACCAAACTATTTTTTGGTATTGGAATAATGTAGAATTTGGGTTCTACAATATCTCATTCTCTTTCAATACCATAAAAGAGAAAAAAAAGTGTGACTGAGAGAGAATAAATGACAGTGGATGATATTGACAAACTAGGTCTTACAATGTAACAAAACTAATTTAGTAAATAAATTGAGAGAAAGACAAAAGGAAAATTTATATTTTAGGTTCTTTAAAAATTCCAGCAAAATGATTTCACTTTTAATGAGAGAAAGAATGTATCTTTCCATGATGGAGAAAATATAGACATTTTAGCATCTTTTTTTGTGGTAAAAGAACATTGATGTGGAAATTCTTGCAAAAATCAAATAATTGTCAGATTTTAATAAAAATTTCAAGACTTATTCACAAATGAATGAAATTATTTTTGAAATGATTTTTCTTAGAAAATAATGGTAAAAATATATTTTTTAATATTTGCTACCCCTTATTTAATTTTATGAAATTTCAAGAAATGCAAATTTCACCCACTTCATATTTATATTAGTTAAAAGAAAGACTCCTTGAAGAATTTAAATCATTTTTTTTTGTGTAATACAGAAACACCATTTATCAAAAATCTGCTCTGAATTATAAAATAAAAAATGCAGTAGAACTAAGACATTACTTTATTAGAAAAGCTTTTAATAGCTTTTATAAGATATATTAAAGACATTATTTTATTCAGAATTTTTTTTTGATGTATAATGAATTTTTACAAGAATTGTTTTCATTTTTTAAAATTTTGATTAGAATAATTTAAGTTTTAAATCTTTTAAAGTTCTGTATTAATTTCACCCTTTGAGATATTAAGTAAAAACTATATTTACTAATCATAAATAGAAAAGCTTAGTACAAATCATCTAACAAATATTTTTTAAAAATTTTGAATTCTTTTTGTATGTGCTTTTATGCTGATTTTTGTAGATACGGGCACCCATGACATCATCAGAAAATACAGGTGATAACTATAGTAAATTAAAATTCAAAATTCAACAGTAGATTACGTAGAATATTTTCCTAAACTTTTAAGATTACTGAGTACATAAAAAAATTATATATAAAAGGCACCTATGTTCAATTATTTTTTTCATGGATAAAGTACCTGTAGAACAACATTAGATCTATATCTGTCTATATTTCTGAGGTATTATGTACACTATTTACATTATTCGGACCATTGTCCTCATCTTTGTCGCCATATTTATCACAACGTTTCGGCCATTGTATGCTCTGGCCTTCATCAGGTGGTTGGAATGTGGAACTGAACCCTTTATTTCGCTCACTGGCATTAGTTAGATCCAGTGACAGGACCCAAAGAGTGTGATTTCAATACATGGTTAAGGCATTGGAGAACTTGGAGAAGGGAATTAACAGATAACTGATAACTGACATCCATTATAGACATGGTACATGGAACTAGAACTGTCTACCCCAGTGAGCAAAATAAAGGGTTTAGTTCGACATTCTAACCACCTGTAGAAAGCCAGAGCATACAACGGCTGAAACGTGATAAATATGGCGACAAACATGAGGATAATATGTCGAATAGCGTATATATGGAACATTAGATCTGTCAACACATGAACAGATTAAATAAACAGCTACTGATGTGTTAAAAATGCATTTCTGTGATATTTTAAACTTTAAAGTAAATAATATTTGCTTCAAATAAGATTAATTACTTAAAATCAGCTAATAAATTTTCAGAAAAGTATATTTCATTTTTGCAAGATTTTTTAATAAAGAGAATTACATTGCAATAAAACACAGACTGAAAATGGTGCTAAAATTAAATTTTTTTTTTTTTTTTTTAGTAAAAAAAAAAAAAATAAAACTCCTTCCAGTCAGTATAAATTAGTTTTGAAATGGAGCAAAGTATTTTGCTTATTGGAAATCTTAAATTTAATCTATTAAAATAAAAGCTTCAAGAAAGATTTTTCATTTTTAAAAATTCATTTTAAACCTTAGGTATTGTGCCTCTGTGGAGGTACCTAATTAGAATTCTCTATTTAGGTGTTTGTGTCCAATCTAAACAATATCAAAATAATTACCACATCCAAAACTATTATGAATAGGATCAGAACCAAAAATATCTATAACAATAATAATTCTGAAGCAGGGATATATAAAATAAACTCTCAAAACTATTCCTTACAGTACATTGGGGAAACTTGCAGAAATTAAACAAAAGCATATCTATGAACATAAAAAGGATCTTGTATGCAACAATTTATCAAATGCATTAATCTTATGCAAAAATAAATTCAACCACAACTTGGATCTAAAGAATGCCATACTTATTTAAACAAACTAACATGTTTAGATGGAAGATTCTTGAGAGTGCCACAATTGAATCCTACCAAAATGTAGTCTGCACTCTGGACTTCTCGAATATCTCAATTCCTGAAAGAAATACTCCTTTCTCAAGTCATACTACATGACTCTACAAATGTTAAAAAATATTAAAAGAAAACAGCTAAATTCATAATCTTCTCTTATTTAAATTTACATAAATTAATTCCAGACTAAATTATAACACTTAGCATCCTCTATAATTTAGCTAGACTTTTCAGTTAGCTTGTTTGAAAACTAATGATATTTTTAGTTTGGTTTATAAATACTTGTTGCAAAATAAAATCCTTACATTTCTTTTGATAAAGTCCATCAGAGTATGAAGTGTCACTTTTTTTTGTTTTTATTCATATATATATATATATTATATATATATATATATATATATATATATATATATATATATATATATATATATATATATATATATAGTGGATGGCAAATGAGGCTTTGTAAAATAAAGAGGTGCTCAACTTCTATGGACATGTATGTGTCTTCCAAAGAGTTGCAGGTGCTTTGCAGACAGAACCTATTGTTGGGCCATTTTGCTCCTGTGGTTGAGAATCACTTGCCACATGTTTCCGCAGGTGGATAGCAAGTCCTGCTTTTCTATGTGCAACAAAGTGGTATATAATGCTATCATTGAGAGGAACATGTCGCCAACTTTCTTATAATATTTGCATGTAGTTGATCCCAATGTTCAAGTCAGTCTCACTCAAAGCTTTGTATAGATGAGAAGTAGGATAGACACATCCCCTTACTCTGATGCTTTTTCCCAGGAAGAAAAGAGAATGCTGCATCGTTTCAGATTGTCTTTGAGATGCAAGAGTGGTCTTCCAACTGGCCTGCTTGTTAGAAGCTGGCCAAAGAGGTGTTTTGGAAGTCTGCTATTGCTCATATGAGAAGGATGCCCTGACTACCTTGGATTTTCATTAGAATGGAGTCATTTTGCATTTAATCAGAACTTCACTGTTTCTAATGTGATCATCCAGTTTTTTTTTATTGCAAATGGCATGTAGGTAGAATATGTGGAATGCATCAAGTTGATTGATGTGTCGTCAGTACAGAGTTCAATATTGTGCACCATCAAGTAGAGATGTCATTACTACTGACTTGTACACATCAATTTTCACCTTTAACAAAACATCAGGAGTATTCTAAAGCCTGTGATAAAGGTTACTGAAGGCAGAACTAGCCTTTCCAATCCTGAACTCAATTTATTTGTTCAATTTAGCATTGTTGGATACAATGGAGACAAGATAGATGAAAAAGGAATAGTTTTCGAGACTTTTCCCTTAACATAAACAGCAGGATCAACAGCTGGGGGATGGTTGTGACACTATTTAGCTATGGTAATTGGCTAATTAACCATAGAAATTAAAAACAGGCAAGAAAGAGCTATATTGAAAGATAGACTGAGCGATGTTAAAAAAAGATTTTATTTTATTTACGAAGAAAGATACTTTTTGCATGAGACAGAAAATCTGTAAGAAAAAGCGAGATATGAGATTCTGTCAAAACTGATTAATGTCATAGTAAGAGAATGATGTGCCAGGGGAACCAGAATTAAGAAAGAAAAGCAGAGCCAGCTGACACATGGCGGTCATAAAAAAATTTCGGCTTGAGACGAACGATACAGGCAGAGAGAATCGATATTAGTTATCTTTCACAGATATCATTTAATTTTAATTCCTGGGTCCAACAAAGGGAAATTGTCTGGTATGTGTTAGAATTCTGGCATGAGAAAGAAAATCATAAAGGAAATTATTATTGCTTCTTGACGTCAGACACAGCGTTGTCGAAAATGGGCATCTGGTGATAGGATGAGAAAAATAAAGAATTTGATTCTCAGGTAGAATGTTAAATGTTGAC